AGATCGCCCCTCATTGCCCCGCATGTAGCAGCTAACGGTGGTGATGGCAGGTAGGGGCTGGAATCAGTACCTCGGCGGGCATTCCCGATTTTCGCTCCCCGGACACAGGTCTTTACTCCAATCTAGCCTTCCTGGATCTGCCAGAGCCGGAGGATGTGTTCGATATCAGTTACTTTCGAGAGAACCCTCGACCGTTCTACGCCTTGGCGCGAGAGTTGGCGCCTGGCCGGTATCGACCAACTATTGCGCATTCGTTTGTCAAGTTACTGGACGATAAGGGATTGCTGTTGAAGCACTTTACACAGAATATTGATTGCTTAGAGCGCCTAGCGGGAGTCCCAGAAGAGAAAATCGTCGAGGCCCATGGTAGCTTCGCGTCACAACACTGTATTGACTGCAAAGCGGCGTACCCCGAACCTCAAATGAAAGAGGCTATTGCCAAAGGGGAGGTGCCTCATTGTCCTCATTGCAATGGCTTTGTGAAGCCGGACATCGTCTTCTTCGGAGAAGCGCTGCCCGAGGTATTCCACTCGAACCGAAGTCTCCCAGAACAAGCAGATTTATGTATTGTTATGGGGACGAGTCTCTCTGTACAGCCATTTGCTAGTTTACCAGCATTCTGTCGTGACGGGGTTCCGCGAGTGCTGATCAATATGGAACGTGTGGGAAGTATGGGGTCTCGTCCCGACGATGTTCTTCTTTTGGGCGATTGTGATGCTGGTGTGCGAAAGTTCGCGCGAGCGCTCGGTTGGGAGCAGGAACTTGAGGAACTGTGGGAGAGAACGAATCCTGATAAAGAGGCACGAGACGCCGAGAATGCACCTTTATGGACGAGAGACGAACGACTACACGATGAGGTGGAGCGTCTGACAGAAGAAGTTGATCGAGCACTGGGATTTTCCGGGGCGTATCACGAAAGAGTGCGACAGCAATTGGATCGTCATTCTCAGAAGGACGCAGGCATCAGACAAGGGACGGCAGCAGCCCACCGTGCCCACGCCTTGTCGAATAAACAGCCCCTGGGCCAGTCGTCCGGGATCCCGCGCGATGAGGGGATGGACGGAGGTCTTGTCCGGGATGCGCTTGTCACAGGAGAAGCGAAAGCAAGGGAGCTACAACCAACAGCTGTGCATGACAGCGAGGGTGGTTTGGGACATGTATTCCCTTTTTTGGCTAGTCAACGGAAGAAGTCAAATGCCATGTGAGCCATGTGAGTCCTTTAGTGTGACCACTGCATCCACTATTCAATGATGGCGCTGATGTGGCTTTCGGCGGATCACGGATGGTTGATACTTTTGCATCCTGGGGACCTGGGCTTTCTCACTTGAATGAGAATATACGAGATCTGAATGAAATCTATAGGTGAAAGATAGATGAATCATGGTATGCGAATAATCGAATAATGAATTAATGAAGATGCCTTTGGTCATGAAAAGACGACAGATGTAGACTAAACCATCTAAATAGAGAGGTATAGCAACCATAATAAGCAATGTTCTAGAAGTGATCAGTTCTGCTTACTAAATTATTGACTGTTATTACTATTATCGAGGCGCCAACAGCGGAATTGACGCATCACAAAAAGCATCTCCGAGTCTCACCGGCTTTGGGGGACGATTCTCAATGCTTTGTTATTATTTAGATAATCCTTTAGGAAGCATTGTTGTCAGCGGATCCTGCAAAAGGTGGGGAGACTCGGTATGAACCCCAACCCCTGAGCAGAAACTGTGTATCTAGAGAGACACCAATGGAGTATCAATAGAGTAATGTCCAAAAATTTCGATCCTCACTAGAAATCAACAGCAGCTGAAAGAGACCAACCGGTGAGGGAATCGGATGATCAACGGCCACTGATTTCATCGTTCTGTGCGGGGCCCTCTTCTGTGGCTCTGGGAGTCTTGATTCTCGTGGACCTTCTCCGGTCGCTGCCCCACGGGTGTCTCTAGATACCTCATAGTCCGTAGTTCTTGTTATCAATATCCTTCCCCCACCTCCCTCCCAACTCATCTTTGTCTTCCTCTCTCTCTTCTCCTTCTTATTATTTCTTTTCATACATCTCTTTCATTGTCCATATCTATCGTTCCTTTCTAATACACACTCTAATTACACAATGGTCGGAATTGGTCCCAAGCGCCGCCCATCCCGCAAGGGTAGGTCAAACTGGTCGAAGCTACAAAACATTTGGCAGGATGGCTCATTCGAAGCGCAATTGGAACAGGATCGATGGCCGATGTGCCTCAGAATCTCCTACAGCAGATTAAGGATTTTGAGGACATGTTTACTGTGGATGCCGCCAAGCTCAAGCAGGTGGTTGACCACTTCGTCAAGGAGCTCGAGAAGGGTAAGTTGTTACCTTTTATCTATTTTCGAAAGCTCCAGTAGCCATTAGGGAAATGCAATGAAGCTAACCTGCGGTTTCTGTTCAGGTCTCAGCGTGGAGGGTGGTAACATCGTGAGCTTGACCGCATCCGTTCTGAGAAGCTTGTACGCTGACCACTAGGACTACTCACCAGCCAATGAACGTTACCTGGGTTATGGGCTTCCCCGACGGAGACGAACAGGGAACCTTCCTTGCCTTGGATATGGGTGGAACCAACCTTCGCGTCTGCGAGATTACCTTGACGGAAGAGAAGGGAGGCTTCGATATCAGCCAGTCCAAGTACCGCATGCCGGAAGAACTGAAGACTGGAACCGCTGAGGAGCTGTGGGAATACATCGCCGACTGCATACAGCAATTCATCGAGTTTCACCACGGAGAGGAGGGATTGACATCATTGCCACTGGGTTTCACCTTCTCCTACCCGGCTACACAAGAGTACATTGATCATGGTGTTCTTCAGCGCTGGACTAAGGGCTTCGACATTGATGGTGTCGAGGGACAGGATGTCGTCCCTCCGCTGGAGGAGACACTGAAGAGAAAGGTATGCCCTCTCTTGCTTGTCGTTGCCAATCTACAGACACCTAACATGTGTGCTTTACAGGGACTTCCTATCAAGGTCGCTGCTTTGATCAACGATACCACTGGAACACTGATCGCCTCCGCCTACACTGATCCCGAGATGAAGATTGGGTGTATTTTTGGTACAGGTGTCAATGCGGCCTACATGGAGGATGTTGGCTCTGTCCCTAAGCTGGCTCACATGAACCTGCCCCCAGACATGCCAGTGGCCATCAATTGCGAGTACGGCGCTTTCGACAACGAGCACGTTGTTCTTCCTCTCACAAAGTACGATCACATCATTGACCGCGACTCTCCCCGCCCCGGTCAGCAGGCCTTCGAGAAGATGACGGCCGGTCTCTACCTGGGAGAGATCTTCCGTCTGGCCCTGATTGATCTCCTGGACAGCAGACCAGGACTGATCTTCCAGAGTCAAGACACCAGCAAGCTGCGGAAGCCGTATCTGCTGGACGCTTCCTTCCTGGCTGCCATCGAAGAGGACCCATTCGAGAACTTGCAGGAGACACAGGAGCTGTTCGAGCGTGAATTGAACATCAAGCCAACTTTGGCCGAGCTCGAGATGATTCGTCGTCTGGCCGAGTTGATCGGTACGCGTGCGGCTCGTCTGTCGGCTTGTGGTGTCGCCGCTATCTGCAAAAAGAAGAACATCAAGAGCTGCCACGTTGGTGCGGACGGCTCCGTTTTCACTAAGTACCCTCACTTCAAGGCTCGTGGTGCCCAGGCTCTACGCGAAATCCTGGACTGGGCCCCGAACGAGAAGGACAAGGTCACCATTATGGCGGCCGAGGATGGTTCCGGTGTCGGTGCCGCGCTGATCGCCGCCTTGACCCTCAAGCGTGTCAAGGCTGGCAACCTGGCTGGTATCCGGAACAAGCACGAAATGCAGAAACTGCTTTAAATGTTGATATCTGATATTCGGAAGGAATTTTTATTGGCTGTTGACGAATTTTGTTTTAAATACGGTGTTTTGGTATGGCAAGTGGAAGCGGCCCTGGGTTTGACGAAAAATATCCATGCACGATATACAAGACTATGAATCTTTCGGTGTCATGGAGGATGCACATGGTCTTTCTTGACTTACAGACCCCATAGAACGACCCGATTGGAATGCAAGTGTCTGTACATACAAGCAACATACAGGCTCAATGAATGATATTACGCTACCAACACGATCCTTGCAAATGCGCTGGAAGGCTGACATATTTTGTTACATCAACAGCCAACTGACGGAGGTGGACTTGCCAGGGAACGGCCTCGCTCGTTGCTTTCTCCCTTCCGAGTTACCAATATCATTTGCGCATCAATCATTCTAGAATATCCGCCGCAGCGGACGAGTGATATGAAAATCTAAGCCCTCGTCAAGGGATTTAGATGCCCAATCAAAAATAGGGTGAGCTGCCAATAGCTATTTGTGCTTACAGACATGTTCAGGTTCGCCCAAGGAACCCAACATTCCGAAGGCAGGACAGGAATGTTCGAATACCCCAAAACAGACTGGTCTCGACAACAGACGAATTGGACGACATTGCAACAAATTCTTCGTCGCCATATACGACATTTGATTGACGGGATCTCATATGGAATAGTCGTCTTGCCGTTTCTATTGCATATTCGAAAGTCAATCCGATACCGGTTGACCTGACGAATGCGCCTCCGCAAGGAGCACAGTGTTCGGAATAATTATTCGACATCCCGTTACAAAATGCCAGACTCTTATGGCATTATGGCAGGCACGTTGCCCCGGCAGATGGACTGGGTCTTATCGGTTGATCCACAGAACTGCATTGTTGTGATGCCTGGAAACTGGGGTACCATGCGTACCTGACAACAGGCCCATATATATACACAACATGTGGCACTCTTTATTATTTCCAACTGACATTAAGCTTTGGAAGACAGCTGTTATCATCGTTTAACTTCGCTGTCTATTCCTGTCTAATTCCCAAGGTGGCCCTGCTTTCTTTTCCCCTTCCCCGTCTCAACTCCCCATCATAACTAACCACGCAACGAATTAAACTACTCATCCAAAGCACCAGCAGAAATGAAGGCCGCCTTTATCGTCCTCACCACGGCCATCGCCATGACAGCACTGGCCGTTCCTCATCGAGGGGTAAGAGACAGCAACAGAACCGACACAACCACCACCCTCATGCCAACCCTCGTTCTCGTGCCCATCCCGACCACCAAACTCCTCCCACCAGACACAACCCTCGTGCCGACTCCCAGCGATAAACTCTTACCACCCTCTGCGTCCGCTGGGACAGTCCAGCTTGATTCCATGAACAAGCTCTTCGTCACGCTCACGCCGGTCCCCAGCCCGAGCCCGAACTCGACTGCCACGGGTAAGAACAGTAACTCGGAAGATAAGGATGCAAAGAAAGTAGGTTTTAGGTTTCCCTTGTCCTGCTTGATGTGAGGTGTGCTAAACTAATGCGTGCAAGAAAATTCATATCCTTGGCACGGTAAGTTAAATATTTAAGGACCGAGTTCTGGTTATTACGCTCTGCTGGCGTCCACGTTTGCTGACCATTGTTGTGATTGTCGGGTAGATTATGAACTCGGTGAGTCTATCCTACCTTGGATTTGTTAGCTGTGGTGTGAGCAGACGCTGATGATTTGTTTCGGGATCAAAGCTCGGCCTAGATGTAAGTTATACGTTCCTGCGAAGGTCTCTTTCGGTGGGATGAGGTGCTGATTATGCGCAGGGTGCATGGAATTCGTTGAGTTCATTAATGTCTTCGCCCTGATGGAGTTTCGGGTCTTTTCTATTTTGTTTCAGCAGTGGCTTTGGGGCGGGAATGGAGTATGCGGTCTGAATGTTCGACTTAAGCTGATGAGCGGGAAATCTATTATTATCGCGCCGATAGCCATGTGATATGTGCGGATGATCTTTATCGTTTGAATGTATGCTAGATCTATACGATGCGCAATGCCTAATTGTACAAGAACAACTTTTCCTCTACTCCAAACAGCTCATGTCATGAATCCACTTCTACCCGCGAATCTCCCAGAGTCGAATACGTCCCTGCTCGTTGGCGACTGCCAGCTGATCCGAGCCAGGGGATACAGCTACTGACGAGATACGGCCAAAGGGCGTGTTGGATGTCGGCCAGTTGCGGTACACTGTACAAGTGGGAAGGTGAACTGTAGAGTGTCAGTCAGTTAAAGTCATCATAAGTAGTGACAGATATAGAGGCTTACCCAATCTCAATGCGTCCCGCTTCCACCGACTAGCCATGACAAGGAACTGCCCGTCTGGTGCAAAGACCAGATGGCTGATGGGTGTAGTGAGTTGATCCAAGGCACGTACAGGCTCCGGGTTACGGGGGATTGGCGACGTTCCGGAAGAGGCAGCCTGTGCAGCATATGCGGCCGCCCATTCGCGACGGTCGTAGACATTGACTACGCCGCTGGAACTTCCAATGGCAACCCAACGGTCTCCACCCAACTGTGTCCGTCCAGAGCGTCCACCAAGGCTGAGTGTCGTCGTGCCCACCGCACCGGCGTCCATCCAGCGAGCCACAACCCGGTTCAGACGTCCGTCCCATTCGGACACCTCACCGTTCTTGCTGGCGACAGTCATACCTTCTCCGTCACTCCACCAGGCGAAATCGGCGACACCCCCACGGCCGTCCACGCGAACCTGGGCAATCCACTGCGCCGTTTCCGAGTGCAGAATGTTGATGATGCCACCTCCTTTGCGGGAGGAGCCGACCAGTCCGACATACCGCCCACAGGGTGAAAGCTTGAACCGCTCCATGGATTTCTGTTCCTCTTTACGATCCGCAGTGCCATTGACCTTCTCGACCTTACCACTATCGAGGTCCCAAATGTGGAAGTATCGTCGACGACCAGAGGCAAAGATCTTGTTACCGGTAGGAGGAGCAAAAGCGGAGGTGTGGATGGGCGTACGGCGGATATGGAGTGACGTGAGGAGAGGATTGGGAGCCTCCGCAGAGGGTGAGATGTGATGGATGAAAAGTGTTGCTGCAGGTCCGGACGACAGAAGCAATGGATAGTGAGGGTGGAACATGAGTGAGTCGATGGAAGACTGGCGAGCAGAAGCGTTAATACCAAAACCGTGGAATGATACCGGTGACACAGAAAACTTACTGGCTGATCCTTGCCAACATCCTTAAGTCTGTGAATATCTATCACCTCCTGTCGCAATTTTCTCTTGCCTCCGGGGCCTGTACTTTCACCAAGCTTGGTCAGATCAGTAGCACCTTGCAGCAGCTTGGCCAATGGTTGCGTAGATAGCCGCTCATTCTCATCGTCCGTATCCATGTCGCTGTCACGATCAGAGTCCGAATCAGTCCGTTTCTTGTTCAATTCCGGGTTGGCCCAGTCCGGTACGGGGTGCAGCTGCTCGAACTGTCTGCGAAGTCGCTTGATATACTCCTTGCCGTTGATAACATCTTCCGCCTCGGTAACGCGCAACTTTCTCAACCTCTGGTGACTAGCCAGCGAAATCGTGAGGCGCTCATCGTCGCTGTCGTGCCACACCGCGCGATGCGTCTCCTCCGCTTCTGTGTCTTCCTCAGAGTCGGACCCCGCTGCGGAAGTTTCTGCAAGCTCAGTACCAACTGGTGCAGTGCCAGAATCGAGGAAGAAGAGCTGTAGGGAATCCTATTAGCACGGTGCACTCCTAACGGGGACGAGGATGAACAAACATCTGCATCGGCAACATCTGACAAATCCCGATCGTCAAAATCATCGCCCTCGTCCTCTTCACTACTACCTTCCTCATCGCTCTTCGCCATCAACGCCATAATATCGCGATCCTGGCTCCTCAATGCGCCGATGAAACCCTCGTCATCACCGAAGAGCATTCTCTCCAGCTTCTTCTCCGCCTCATCCTTCTCACGCACTTTCTCGGTCTCAGCGCCGTCGACCTCCATTTCCACGTCGGAAGCGTCGCTCTCATCAACAGGTTTGGACGAAGCTCCGTTCTCAAATGGAGAGCGCGAGTTTGCCGTTGTCTTTTGGCGGGTCTTTTCCTTGACGGTGACGGTGGTTTTGGGCATCTTGCCGTCGTTGGGATGCCAAAAATCTCAGACAATAGTAGGAAACTGTCTAAGTCAATATAACTATAAATGTACCATATATAGAAATCGCAATGTGAGACTATTGTCCAAATCAAATGAAATGGTCGTCTGCGGGCCGTCAAAAGACTGAGGTTGACAATAATTTTCTTTTCGCTTCAACGGCAGAAGAAGGCGGTGACCATGGCGGTGGCTGCTGATGCCTTGGCATCTTCTGGTTCAAGCAGCAAACACAGCTATAGCGCTGACGGTCAACAGAGTTGAAACATTGAAAGTGACCAGGTCATTCCAGTATGTTGTGGGATAATTGTTCAGGAATAGCCTTTGTCGCGGAAAGAGGATGATACGTCAATTCTGCGTACTCTACCCTATGCCTAATATATTACCCTTGGCTTGGATTGCACGATAAGTCGTATATCTTATTAGAGTGGGACTAAAGCATATACATGTCGTTTGGATCGCTATAAACAAATCTCTGGAATGTATGTTGCCAACCAAAAAAAAAAGAGCAAGACTGGCCGCGACATCGGCACAGAAAATATCCATATCCAGCACCCAACGCCGACGCATAAGCATAACAAAGGTCGTCATGAGCTCTTGTTCTGAAGTGTAAGCTTTGTCGAAGATGACATCGCATCATATTCCCCATGACTGCTGCTGGAGCTGCCAGACGCCGATGACGCCGGGGAGAAATACTCCCCATCAACAGCCGGATCGTACTCGGTATGACCAAATCCGCTCAGCCGCGCGGGCGGTTCCAGGTCTTTGCTCAGATCCTTTCCTATAATACCTTCATCCGGCCCAAAGGTATCATCATCGTCAACGTTAGTCAGTAGTGTATTGCGCGGTGTTCGACCGTCATCCAGCAAAGCATCTTCCACCTCATCTCCTTCCTGGAGCAGCTCGTGAGTTCGAGATAGCGGTTTCTTGATGAAAGTATCGATGATGTAGTACTGAATTGCGTTCATGATCACTGGGAAAAGCAGCATGACGAAGATGATCTGCAGAGCTGTATTCCCTTCTGTCCAGCGCAATGCCCAGTCACCGATCTTGACAATGAAGGGCAGTAGCTGAATGAGAAAGAAGACGCAGATTTTCATTCCCAATAGCCCAAAGAAGTATATCATAGCCTGCTTGAACCACCAGGCCGCCCGTGGCGGAGAGCCATAGTTTCCAGACTCGATCGACTCTGGGGGATTCGCAAGGGGAGTATATGCCGCTAAGCGGTTTAGAATGTGAAGAATAAAGATGAGAATGGGGATTCCGAGTGTAGTCTGATCCGGAGGTCAATTGTCAGCTCCTACATCACTGTAAATTCCGAATGTCCGGAAATGACTCACGTCAATCCCCAAATTCAATAGATAGAACGAGCACGGATTCGGTCTGTATTTGCTCGTAATTTCGAACTGGCCGGCAGAGAACATGGACATGAGTAGATTCGCAAGATGTAGCATTGCCGACCCAAAGACTTGTTTTGATACGTCAAACGCCCACACCTTCACAGGCCGCTGGGGTCTCTCCCTCCAGCGCTTGTATACCAAGGACAACAGCGCCAGTGATCCGAGTGCAGCTTGGACAAGAATCGAAAAGGGACCTAGCAGTCTGCATTCTCCGTTGTCTTCTCCATCAGGATCATGATGCGGGCCAGCCAGGGAAGAGGGTACAGGCATGGAAGGTGTGGGTGATGATGTTGCGGGGCCATTGCTGATTATTGCGATGGCTGTAGCCGCGGCTGCCAGTGAAGTCATAGACGGAAGAGACATTGCTGCTCTATCTCCGCCTTCGACGTCCGCAGTCTCCAAAAAGAAATAAGGCAGGTCGAGGTGATGAAACTAGGGCTCTTTCAAGAGCTCCCTATAATACGAGGGCGGCTCGTATAGCAGGCATCAGTGATGATGATCGAATTAGAGTGTACTGCTGGACCAGCCACAATGCTTAAGACTTGAGTTTGGACAGATCAAAATTGGTGGAAATATATAAAGTAAGAAAAGAGATCTTGAACGGATGTCCTTTACCAGCAAGGAGTCGGAACCAGTCCAGGTGGGTTGGCTTGAAATGCGACAAGTCGTCAGTGCCAGAATGAGACACGCCTCCGCCAGGTGACGGTCTATGGGTCACTAGTTCAGTTTAGTCACGCCGCTCATCCTGCAGCGCCAAGGCGCATAGATGATTTCACCATCACTTCTATCTATCTAGTTCTTACTGTCGAAATAAGTCTAATGATTATTTTTTTTGTTTATATTTCCTTACGCTACATATTTATCCAAAAGAGGGATGGGTGGTCAAACAACTCACTTCATTGGTGACACTCAATGTGAGGAGCGAGATCTAGCAATATCCAAAGACATGAGAAGAAGTACAGGCAAAAATATTCAAACCCTTGACAACTTCCTGAATCATGAGTATCACGAGTCCAATGCGAAGATAGACTCGTAATTTAACTCAATGATCCATGCACTCTTACAGTCTGGGCCATGTCGACCAGCTCGTACTGTAAGGGCACAACTCTGGGATTGCCTAACTCATTCACAGATCGAAACCATGTTTAAATCATCAGTCTCTCGACCTTGTCCTTGATGGTTCTAATCTGGCCCATAAGGTCACTGGCTTCGTTGGTGGTGATGCTAGCCGCAATCACGGGACGGGAGACACCAGTCGCACGGCCCAGAGCGAGCTTGCTAGGAACGTACACGTAAGGAACCTGATCGATAGTTAGTATTCAACCAGAGTACTATAAGTATATCGGAAGGAAAACCATACGTTCTTATCTTCGCAAAGAAGAGGAATGTGAAGCAGGATAGCCAGAGGGGAGGTGTCGGCAGCGAGGATGACAATTTCGGCGGTACCACGATTGAGAGTCTTGGTAGCTGAAGCAGAATGTCAGTCAAGAGTAAGACACAAGGGGATAACCAGGTAGACATACCCTCGTTCGCACCCTTCTTCAGCTGACGGTAGTGAGAAGCCTGCTGCACCAAATCCAGGAGGTTCTGGGTGAGGGCCTCATCGGCAATGGGCCAGGCTGCATGGGCGGATTCATTAGCAGATGGTCGGTCGCAAGACGAGGGTTAAAATTTCGCTTACCGGCAGAAGTTTCACCAGACATGATTTGAAGTGAGTGTTGGCTTTTTCAAATAAGATGAAATGGCTCACTCAAAGGATCACTGCCGTATTGCAGGGTATCTAAAGTACAGGTGGAAAGAGATGCTTGAGAGTAGACTTCATGATAAGAGCCCTGCAAAGAAAATCTTGAAGAGAAAATGGTTGGTGGGGCCGCAGGTGTCCCCGGCGCTAGTCCTTCTTGGGATGGGCTGCACCCGATGGTCAGGGATCGTTTCATACCTTAATTATAAGGCAGTGAGGCAATGACCTCATGTCAGTACAGTACTTAAGTGTCAAAGGTCTGTAGGAGAAATCTCTGTCACATTTGTTACAACACATATCGCTTCCGTGTATCGTTGTTCTTGAAGAGTATTGATCCAATCCAACCTGGATTCTGCCCTCGATTACGAAGCCATCTCAATGAAATGGAAAGGAATCTTACCCTGGTGATGCCAGCACGCAAAATCAGTCCTAATGGGTGTAGATGGCAGTACGGAGTAGACCTCTACCATATCCCCTCCGCTACGCTGTAGACTTTCGAAGGCGATGTCATGATCTTGACCTAATGCGCGACCACAGGTGAGAGCCGTCGCAACTTCTTGGAACACCTCGATCACGCTGTGCAGGTGCAGACTCTGTCTAAACTACTGTCTTCTTATATGTCCTAAGACGATGGAGATCAGATGTCCGCAAGCTGCCCATGCCGCAGCAACAGAAAGGATAATAATATTGTTGGTAGCAACTGGCCGGCACAACAAAACAGATCCCAGCCCAGACGAGACTAACTCTGTATCATTCCCTCGATCATGACCAGGGAGACTCATTATACCCGCCAGGAACCCTCATACCCGTAATTAAGAGCCACGAAAACCATAGGAGTCAAACGCCGGAAACCCCACAACCAACCCATGTTAGACAAGATGCAGCTCGATGCCTGCAAAGGGTACTCAGAGAAATCGACAAAAAGAAATAGCGCCTCATTCTATCCCATGCTGCTGTTTGAGACGCTCCAAATTCTCTTGCCTTTCCGCCAGGTCCTCTTTCGACCTAAGCATTTTTTCCGGCTGGTGGTATAACACTAGAACCAGTAATCAGCAAAACTATTCTCCTTTCAACAAGCAACTCTTGTTGTCACCAGGGGACACATACCGACAAGGTATCTGTTCTGAAAATTGAATCCATTGAGCTTATCGCATGCCTGTTTGGCGTCGTGAACGTCTTCATATACAACAAAAGCGGTACCCTTTGAGTTGTTCGCAATTCCTTGGCGTATTTGACTGAAATCTTGTGAGCCTATTTTGTAAAACACAAAGTATGCATGTCTGTCTCAAGAACGTGGCTTACCGGATGGGCCCAAATTTGCCGAAGAGATCAAATAGCTGCTCAGCAGTCACGTTGTAGCTGCACAAAATCATCTCATCAGTCCCTAGTCATCAAGTGGCACTATACGTAATTCGCATATATGCAGAAGACGTGATAGTAGTTGAACTGTCGATCTCGGAGCAGGGCAGTCATGGATGAAACGTACTTGAGGTTCTTGACGAAGAGAATCCTGGAAAACCGTTTGTTAGCATATACGACTATTTATGCGCAAATGCTCGCATGTAGTTGAGAAAAGCGACTATCGCGTGATGGGAGGCCAAGAGCAGTAAGAGACTCTGGCGGAGGGGCAGATTCGCGCGAGGAGACTCACCGATTGGCTTCGGGGGCGAGCTTCCGGCTCATTCTTGGGGGGACAAGGAAAGTCCAGAAAAATCGATAGGCAAAGATATGAAAAAGCAAGACTGACACCCAAAGAGGATGGGATCAATAGAATAGCAGAAGGAGGAAGAAGAAGGAGTAGAGAGAGTCGATATCCGTATGGGCGGAGGAGCGCAAGATGAAAGTGAGCACGAGGTTCGGAAGGGAGATTCCTTTCCCGATTGGGCTTAGAGGCACAGGCGATCCTCACTGTGTTGGTTCCTCTTGTCGACCGATGCCGTTGGCGAATCCCCATTAGTAAAGTATTATCATTATTTATTGGAGATGCACTCAAGTCTAGAATCATATTGGACTTCGTCTATTAGAAGCTACAATTATCAAGGATATACTAATTAGTCATATTCATGCAGGAGACAAACCGACGCTCGAAGTGCCGATCGCCAATGGCCGCTATCTCAGTCCAGTATGCCTCGCCGCAAACGATAGCAACCTCGATACTGACAGTAGGTCTGGAGGACATAAGAAGGGATTAAATAGCAGTGTTACTAGTACTTAGTTGGACGTATCAATCCCTGAGATAAGCACTGTATGGTTATGTGGATAACCTGTGTGCTGCTATGTAGAATGTAAAACTACTACTGCTGGTGGGCTCTGGTCGGCCTACTTTGTCGCCTCCCTCTCCCTCAAGTCACCTCAACTCCCAGCCAACACCGTCAATCGTCGATTGAAGGGTAATTGACGGCGCTTCTTTCAATCCTTTCCAGCCATAATCATCTTTCCATCCCTCAAAAATCTTTTCACTGTCCCTGTGGTGACAAATCTCCCGATAACTTTGCCCGCCTGCCGCGGCGGTGCGTCTCACACTCGGTGCTGCAGTACTCTCCCGCCCTCGAACTAGTAGTCGGCAGAGAGGGAGTCAACTTCCCTCCCCCTCAACTTCCCAGCGCTCCGGCGTGCGACCTTGCTCCCTCAACGTCTCATCCATTCAGTACTCGATTTTCCATCCTAATCCGCGCTTCTTTATCGTTTCCGGACTGTGCGATTTCATCATCTGCCAGGAATGACTCTCTTTTTGCCTGCGGTGGCCTCTCTCTAGCCCGCGTGGTTTATCACCCCCGCTTTGAACTCGCCTTCCGCAGGCACATCATAATCTTCTCCGGCCCTTTTCTTTCCTTTTACCTTCTCTCTACTACTCCCAGGCTTCATCATGATAGGTGCCACGTCCTTCTTGAACCACTCCGGGCCTCGACCGCCGCGATACCGCACTCCGTCTCCTCCGCGACGCGCCGTGGAGCCTATCTCTCCTTTCACAACCACCGACTTCCGTGCCTCGTGGATTGACCGCGGAGACTCGCAAGCTGCGAGCTCTGATCGCGATCGGATCACATTGAACAATGATGTCTATTCGAGCACAAATCGGGTATCTCATGGCCGAACCAGCCATGGGCGCTCCAGCTCCACGATTGACACTCTCGCGACAATCGCCTTAGCGACCAGTCCTACCTTCGCGCCTCTTTCCTACAGACCTCCTTCTCAAGACGCAACGCCTACCATGTCACTCTTTCCTTCCCAGTCCATTGAAAGTGCAGAACGTCCAGCCAAGCGACCGCGGTCGGAGAAAAGTCCATCTCCCTTACATCACCCGCAGACAGCCGTCGCGCCGGATGTAAATCCTTCCTCCACCTTCGACAGCATGAAAACCGACGCTGAGCTTCTTCTAAATTTCGCGAGACCAAGCAACTTCCACCCTGCCGCTTTCTACCCCTCGAAACGGGTGAGCATTGATGAGACGTACCATCCTCATTATGGCGAGGGACCGAATAGCCACTTTCGGGCTGGTCTCGGAAGCACCTACACTCTGTCGCAGGACGAGAAATCTTCTTATCTCACTTCCGCGAATACTGCGTTCCCATCATCTCGAATGAGATCTCAGTCGGACGGTTCGGCCTTCATTTCTCGACCGCTCATTCAGGGAGTACGGCCCAACACAAGCGCTTCTACACTTCCTCCAATTGTCTGGCAAGAGGAAGAAGGCAATGCCAAAGTGGGTCCAAGATCTTCAGACACGAAATTGCCCGGGGTTGAGGCCCGATACGAGAGTTCCGTCTTCAGTGGGATAGAGACCGGTGCTGATCGGGCATCAATGGATGTGCGTCCCAGGGGAGATGACGATACAGAATCCGAGGAGAACAGTCAGGCGAACTGCGCCGCCTGTAATTTGGTCCGAATACCGGTGGATTCAGAAGAACAAGGGGATGTCACATGGATCAGTTGTGACGGCTGCAAGCAATGGTTTCATATTGTTTGTGCCGGATTTAAGAATGATCGCGAGATACGGACAGTCGACAAGTTCATCTGTCGCCGGTGTCGACCGACCCATGGACAGACAACTTTTGTTAGAAAGTCTTCTCGAGCCCGCACTGCCATTGATTATGCTGGTCTCAACCAGGGTCTTGTCAAGGCCGCCAGCGATTCTTTGGAACACCATTATATTGAACCCATTCGGGAGGGCAAGATTCGATTTCTCCCGGAAAACTTCCCTCGGATGAGGCCGGAGTTGGTCACTGCGGAATACTTCGAGCGCGGCAGCGGCATGACAGAGCCAATCGTTATTCCCGCACATTTGAACACCCGTGATTCTATTCCCATTGTCGACCCTGAATTCGAATCCCTCGTCCAGGAGGCTAGTAGCCAAGAGATGTTCGATGAACTGTTGGAGCACGTCCCAGAGGAGGGCAAGGACTTCGAGGCCGTCATCGATTGCGGCCAAGACCAGTTGGACATGGTTGTTCCTCAGGGTCTAACTGTCCGAGCGGTGGCGGAGCTTTACGGCCCTGAAGAGAGAGTCGAAGTCATTGACGTCAAATCCCAGCAGGGCGAGGACAAAAGGTGGAATATGCAGAAATGGGCTGACTATTATGAGAGTACCGGCTCCAAGGTCGTTCGCAATGTCATCAGTCTGGAGGTCTCACAAAGTAAATTGGGCAGACTGATACGCCGACCCAAAATTGTGCGCGATCTTGACTTGCAGGATGCGGTGTGGCCTGAAGAGCTCAAGGCGATCGGCGATTATCCGAAAGTTCAGTTTTACTGCCTGATGTCTGTCGCAGACTGCTACACTGATTTCCACATCGATTTCGGCGGGTCTTCGGTCTTCTATCACATTCTGAAAGGCAAAAAGACTTTCTTCTTCATCCCACCTAAAGACAAGCATCTGAAGAAATATGAAGACTGGTGCAACTCTCCCGCGCAAGACTCCACGTTCCTTGGCGACCAGACCAAGGAGTGTTACCGCGTCGATCTGTCCGAAGGCGATACCATGTTGATTCCATCTGGCTGGATCCACGCCGTGTGGACTCCCACGAACAGCCTGGTCATTGGCGGTAATTTCTTAACGCGCCTCAACTATGGAATGCAGATCAAGGTTGCAAAGATCGAAAAAGATACCAAGGTTCCTAGGAAGTTTCGGTATCCGTTCTTCCAGAGGATCCAATGGTACACCGCGTTGAAATACCTGGAGGACGATCCTATCCCTCAAAGTGTGCTCGACGCTTTCGCTGAGGATGAAAACTACCGATTTCACAGAGCTTATCCTATCTACTACGAATTTGGGGAGCGGGAAAATAAGGCGCCTACCGGGGATCCATATCACAATTCTCGATTTTACTCCCAAGCCGAACTTGAGGGCCTTCCAGATCTTGCCAAGTACCTGCTTCGCACAGCATTAATTGCCAGTGGCTACATGGTTGAGGGAGTGACGATGGATGCTAGGAACGCTGTCAAGCGATCTATACCGAAAGGCCAAGGAGACCCAGTTGACACAGTGAGAAAGTTTGGAATCTGGGTTGCGTGGAAGCGTGGAAATGAAAAGGCTCCGCAATGGACGCGCCCTGGTGTGGTTGAAACCAACGCTAAACTCAGCCTCACGGAGAAGAAGCCAGCAGGGCGACCTAGCCGTCGATCAGAGCGAAATGCAGAGGGACAGCGCATGTATGCAGAACGGCAAGCTGTCCAACGGCCATTAGAACAACCTCCCGATTTGACCAATGGCCTTTCCAGCGAAGAAAGCTCTTCTGCACCTTCGACCGTTGAGATCCCTCAGCCTGCCATTGATTCGACGCTTTCAGTCACCGAGACGAAGGAACTGAAGGAAGAAATGGTTCAGAAACCTCGATCTATACATCGGAGCTCTGGATTGGGTCCTAAGCGTGTTGCGTGTGATGCGTGTCGCAAGCGAAGAATCCGATGTCGGCATAAGGATGAACACAACGACACAATATCCGCAAAGCAAACGACGTTTGGAGCTTTCCCTGCAGGAGTCCAATCATCTTTGGCTCACGATGCCGCATCGGCGTTGAATTCATTAGCGGCCATCGCGTCTGAAGCAGGCTTGCAGGACACCGCGAATGGCTATGGTCTAGATCGACTTGAAGCTTCTGGGAATTACAGCACTGCCATCTTGAGCACACCGAATGCGGTCACCAGCAAAGTCAATGATGGCAGCCCTGAGGGTCTCAGCACGGGAAAGAAAGGGCGCAGCAAGGCTTGTGATGATTGCCGCAAGAGCAAGGTTCGTTCTTATTGTTTCTCTCCCTGTGCACGTGCATAGCTGACAATATCTGTAGCGCCGGTGCATTCACGATGAGTATGGTAGAATCGACCCCATCAAAGCCCAAGAACGATCGAAGCCCAGGGCGGCAACCTCTGCCAAGAGGCCGCGTCCTCATGAGGAAGACGCGCCCTTTGCCTTGAACAAGAGGCCKAAGCAGGAAAGCACGTCTCCTGTGGCGAGGCCGGCCAGTCTCTATAGAGCTGAAGGGGACATGTCTCATACGCAGAGGCCGCTTGATTTGGAAGCTTCCTCATACTTCGGCACTTCGCACGCCTACAATGGCATATCTCAGACAAATCTGACATCTGCCGAGAGAAAGTCTCACGTGGGGCAGACTTCGTACGCATCCCCGCCGGCGTTTCAGTCAGACACGGTTGTTATGGAGGTCGATGCGGCATCCGTGTCGAAGCCA